TGGAAATTTTTCAAAACCGCCATTTTTTAAACTATGGAATCGGTTTTAAGGAACTAGAATTGTTTATAGAAGATCAGTACAAGGGCATTCGCCTGCAGCAACACAAAATAAGGGTTGATATTTAACAATTAAGATCAAAAGAAACCGCTTTATGAACGTCACTTAATTTCACACGTACTTTCGGAGGACTACTGGTACCAGTTTTGAATCAAACTGTTCTAAACCGAATTCAGCAAGTGGGTTTGTATGCTTGCAACTCTATGTTTTGAGTTCTGTTGACTGATGACCACAATGCTACTTGCAAAAAGTGTGCATAGGAAGGAGAGATGAACAGAACAACGAGTTCTTCAGGATTGAGACCCTCTTTAGTATACAACCTGACCAGATTTCTCATCCGAAGAGAACTTGGTACATGAATTCTTTAAGTGTCAAATTTGGTGACGGTAGTGTATTTCTTTTGGGCCGGTATGGAGGAATGGAGCACTAAAGAAGCATAAATATTAGGATGAAATTCTTAGACCTATTTGTGTTCCCTTACGTTGCAGCGATCGGGGATGAACTCCATGGAAAACGCCAGAACACATTGTGCTCAGCTAATAGACAGTTGCCTACAGAATGATGGAAACCTGCGAATGGTTTAGCCAGCATATTCTCTAGTTGTGGACCCAATAATATATGTTTGGTACATTCTGGGGAAAAGAGTTGCTATTCGCTTATTACCCTCTGAAACAATTTAGCAGTTGGGGACCTTTTTTTTTACAGTGGAGTGAGAGAATTCCCAAGTTGCACAAATATTTGATACTTCTTAGGTATTCAGTACAGTTTTCGATCAGGAAAAAATCATTTCTGATTGAAACTTATTTCTATCAAAGAAATCACGTGTTTTTTGTTTTTTTTTTACTAAGGACTTGTGCATTTTTGACTATCGTCAAATATCATCAATAAAATGTAACGATTCAATGTACATAAATCTTTTTTTTATCTTAAAATAACTATACAACAAATATCAGTCACCAAAACGCTTCCTCATCCATGCTTTATATCCAAAATCATAATAACTTCTTATTGTTTAGAACAGCGTACATCTTTTTACATGGATATGGAATAAACATGTCTCCGCTGTTTTCTTCAAGTAATTCAAAACTTTTTAACTACACAACACCTTTACATAAATTTGTGGCAATGAACCCGGACTCTCCGGTGGAAAAATCGAAAGCAGAAAAAAAAGCATATTAAATAAAACAAAAATAAGAGATAAGCACTCGTTTTTCAATTCCTACTATTAACTCACGCTCTCTATATATCTATTGTTTGTTTGTTTATTTATTTGGTGGAATTTTCAATCGTTAATAAAAGTTAATAAAATACATTATAAAGCGCTCAATTGAGCTGAAATTTTATATACATGATTGATCATTTTGGATGATAATACAATAATTTAACTATAATTAATAAAAATTAATTGATTAAATTTAATTATTTAAAGAATTACAAATACACAGCTACGTTGGCATCCTTTTTGCCGACTTGTGTCAAAACTTTGAAAGGTTTTTTTCTCACGTTTTAAAGCATTCAGTTGAACTGAAATTTTATATACATGATTGTTTTGGATGGCAATACGATACTTTTATGATAATTAATCAAAATAATTACCACTTGATATTGTGATTCTGTCCTATGTATATACATATTTATATTAATTGTAACTATTTAATAAAAAGTGGCTAAAATAAAATTCTTTGTTGATCTAAGTAGGAATTGACTTAAATTTTTTTATAGTACTTGTTATTACATAAGACGCATTCAGTTTAAAATCTCATTTTTTAAAATTACATGCTACTCCTCTGAAGTAATATGTATTACTAAAAATGTAAATTATCTTATAACCGTAAAAAGTCATTCGCTTATGATTCAATTCCATTTTGAGAGTATCCATAAATAATTTAAAAACTAGTTCAATTCATTCAAAAGGTAATTACAAAACGTTATAGACTTACATAACAATAATCTACTTTAATGCTACTTTAAACTTTGGTAATCACTTTAACCCCTATAAAACAGTATCCTCCATTGTAGAAAGAAGATTTAACAAATAAGTTAGTTGTAAGGCAAAGGTAATTTCTCAACTCTAGTTTTAAATTACTTTTCTTTTTTAACTCAGAGCTTTGAATTCCCACAAGATATTTTTCTAATTTTCTCTTATGTTTTTGGAAACGCAATTTCTGGATTTTAATTCTATCGAATAAATGCTTTTCCTTGAAATGAGGAACTTTCAAGGGAACAAACAAATTATCCTACGAATGCACCCCTACCAATTTAAGATTTACCCTCAGATAAACATATTTGGATTGCTGAAAGTTGGAGGTGGAATTTGTGGAACACAAAGCAGCATTTCATACTTAATGCACTTAAGAGAGTTGTATTCTATATTTAGATGAAAATAGAAGATTTCATCTAAACACAGAATTTAAAAATTTGGTGTAGTGGAGAACATTTACGATGGATTTTGAGTTGCATGTCTGTGGAAACTACTTTCTATATTTCATATGAACTTTTCAGAAACAGTGCATTTAAGGAGTCTCAGGGGTGTTAAATTTTTCTAGAGGTCTGAAAATATAAACAATTTTCAAACAGGTATAATTCATTTAAAATTAAATTTAATGATTCGAATCTTTTACACATTATAAAAGAATTGGGCTTCAGAAAAGTACAAAATGTTTATAAAATATAATAATAATTTTAAAAGTCTCT